AATGACAAATTAGATTTCATCAAAATTTAAAACTGCTTTTTGAAAAACACTATCAGGAAAATGAAAAGGCAAGTCACAAAGTGGAGGAAAATATTAAAAAAAAATTTATTTTTTATTTATGTTTTATTTGTTTCTGAGAGAGACAGGATGAACAGGGGACGCTCAGAGAGAGAGGGAGATACAGAATCTGAAACAGGCTCCAGGCTCTGAGCTGGCTGTCAGCACAGAGCCCAACGTGGGGCTCGAACCCATGAACCGTGAGATCATGACCCGAGCCAAAGGATGCCTAACCGACTGAGGCACCCAGATGCCCCACAAAGTGGAAGAAAATACTTGCAAAATACATTTCTGACAAAAAAAAGTCATAAATCTCAAAAGTAAAAAACCACCCAGTTTAAAAAATGGACAGAAAATTTGAGGAAGGATTTCATCAAAAGACAGGGATGGCAAATATGCACATGAAGGGAAGTTCAGTATCATTAATCTTTAAAGAAATGCAAATTCAAATGGCAATGAAATACTGCTATGTATCTATTAAAGTGGCTTTTTATTTTTATTTATTTATTTTTTTTAAATTTTTAATGTTTTACTTATTTCTAAGAGAGAGAGAGAGAGAGAGAGAGAGAGAGACAGCACGAGCAGGGGAGGGTCAGAGAGAGAGGGAGTCACAGACTGAAACAGGCTCCAGGCTCTGAGCTGGCAGTCAGCACAGAGCCCGACGCGGGGCTCGAACCCACGAACCGCGAGATCATGACCCAAGCGAAAGTCGGACGCTTAACCGACTAAGCCACCCAGGCGCCCCTTAAAGTGGCTTTTTAAAAAAGAAGTCCATAATCAACTACTGGCCAAAATATGGAGCAACTAGAATTCTCACTGCTGGTGGGCAGTTTCTTATCAGTTGAACATACACTTAGCATATGATACACTAACACCAGCTCGGTAATTACCAAAAAGGTATTTACCCAAGAGAAATGAAAACTTATTCCCACACAAGAAACTGCACTCAAATGCTTACAGCAGTATTATTCACATTCCCTCAAATCTCAAAACAACGTAAATGCCCATCAGCTTTTGAATGTGGCACAATCTTACAAAGGAATACCAGTCAGCAATCAAAAGGAACTAATGATAGATGAAAAATATGGATGATTTTCAAAAGCGTTATGCTAACTGAAAGAAGATAGATACAAATGGCTAATTATATGGTTCCATTTTAGAACATTCTGGAAAAATGGGACAGAGCATTCTGTTGGGATAGAAGGCAAATCAGTGGTCGCAGGAACTAGTGGTGGAAGGACAGTGCATACAAAAGGGCCCCAGGGGCTCCTGGGTGGCTTAGTCGGTTAAGCGTCCGACTTTCACTTAGGTCATGATCTCGTGGCTCGTAGGTTCGAGGCCTGCCTCGGGCTCTGTGCTGACTGCCAGCTCAGATCCTGGAGCCTGTTTCCAATTCTGTGTCTCCCTCTCTCTCTGACCCTCCCCTGCTCACGCTGTCTCTCTCTCTCCTAGAAATAAATAAAAAAACATTAAAAAAAATTAAAAAAAAAAAAAGGGCCCCAGGTGTTTTGCTGTGATGGGAATATACTATATGTCAGTTGTAAATAGTGGCTATATTGCTATAAATGTTTATCAAAACTCACAGAACTGAACACCTAAAAGTGGTGATTTTTATTATCAAGCCTCAATAAACCTGATTGAAAAAAAGAAACAGCCACAGGCTCACTTTGCCTTTAAACTGTTTGGCTCCCCACCCAAAAGGGACTATAAACAGAGTGGAGGCAGGGCCATCCACAATAATTATTTGATGGGCTTTTGCTCCTGTTACTCTGAGGTGGTTTCCTTTCCCATCACTTTTCTCATCTAACTCTAAGGTTTTTTGTTTTTTATCTTTTTTGCTTCATATATTTGGGGCTCTGTCATTCAGTGTGTATATGCTTATAATAATGTCTTCCTGATGGACTGACTTTTTTTTATCATTATACAATGTCTTTCTCAACTTTTAAATGCTGAGAACAAACAGGGCTGATGGGGGTTGGGAGAGGGGAAGGGGGGTGATGGGCATGGAGGAGGGCACTTGTGGGGATGAGCACTGGGTGTTATATGGAAACCAACTTGACAATAAACTATTTAAGAAAAAAAAAGTCTCTCTCTCTGTCCTCCGGTAAAAATTTTTGTCTTAAAGTCTACTTTGTCTGATATTACTATGGCTACACCAGCTCTCTTTTAGTTACTGTTTGCATGGTATATCTTTTTTTATCCTTTTTAACTTATTTGTGTCTTTGGATCTTTGGTAGACAGTGTATACCTGGATCATGGTTTGTTTTTAAATCAATTTTGCCATTCTCTGCCTTTTAATTGAAACATTTAATCCATTTATTCTCAATGTATACGATTTATGAGTGCCACTTTGTTTCTAGGTCTTATGTTTTTTGTTCCTCTATTTCTTCATCACTGCTTTCGTCTGTATTATCTAGTTTATCATTTAATTCCTTTGTCATTTCTTTTAAAATTTACTTCCTTAGTGGTTGCCCTGGGGATAATTAATCTATTCACTGATAACAATCTAGTTCCAATTAATTCAAAGGTATTCCACAGCTTTGTTCCTATATATAGCTCTGTTGCTTGCTCCTACCTTTTTGTTACTGTCATACAAATTACATCATTCTACACTGTTTGCTCATCAACACAGACTTAGAATTATTGCTTTGTGCATTTCTCTTTTAAATCACACAATAACAAACTACATCTTTTATATTAACCTATACCTTTATATTTACCTTTACTAGTGCTCTAAATTTTTCATGTGGATTCATGTTACTGTCTAGTGTCCTTTCCTTTCAGCCTGAAAGACTCTCTTTAGTATTTCTTATAGGACAGATTTCCTAGTAACCAATTCTCTCAGTTTTTGGTTCTCTAAGGCCTTGATTTTTCCTTCATTTTTGAAGTACAGTTTTGCTAGATATAGAATTCTTGGTTGAGGGCCATTTTCTTCTAGCACTTTGAATACGTCATTCTGCTGCCTCTGGCCTACATGGTTTCTGATGAAAAATTACCAAATTCCTTGTGATGAACTGCTTCTCTCTTGATCCTTGCGCAATTTTCTACCTTTGGCAAGTTCTATGAGCTTTTCGGATGTTTAATTTTTTTTCTTTAAGTCAAATTTAATAAGTTCTCAGTCATTTCTATACATATTCTTTCTGCCTCTTTCTCCTCTCATTATGAGGCTCCCATAACACATATGATATTCTTGACAGTGAGACACTGTTCTCTGAGATTATACGTTATTCTTGTCTTTTTTTTCTTTCTGTTCCTGAGACAGAGTAATCTCAATTTATCTGTCTTCAAATTTGCTGATTCTTTTTTCCACCTGCTCAAATCTGCTGCTGTCCCATTAGTGATTTTATTTTAGCTGCTATGCTTTTCAACTCCAGAATTTCTATTTTTTCTAAATAATTTCTATTTCTTTATTAGCATTCTCTATTTGGTGAGACGTGTTCCCATACTTCCCTTTAATTCTCTGAACACATTCAAACCAGTTCATTTAAAGATCTGTCTAGCAGTCCAGTGTCTGAGTTTCCTCTGAGTCCAATCTGTATTGGTTACTTCTTCCTCCTGTGTATAGGCCACAGTTTGTTTCTTAGTACGTTTCCATTTTTTTGTTGTTGACAACAGGACATCTTAAACGATATACTGTGGCAACTCTGGAAAGCAGATTCTCCTTCCCCAAGGTTTGCTGACATTGCTGTTTGCTATTGTTGTTTAGTGACCTTCTATCTAACCCCGTAACCACAGCATTCATGGCTGTGTGTGGGTGGCCATTTATGTGTCTGCTAGGTGAGTGCAGTGGTCAGCTGAAGGAAATTCCCCTAAACATCTGGAGCCAATGTAACACAGAAGCCCTGGCAAAACCCAAGGGGCTCTGTGTGTGCTGGGGCAGGCATCCAACACTTGGTTGATGGCTCTGCCTTAGCCTTTATTTTCTTCTCTTAGCCTTTATTTTCTTCCTCTTCTTTTTCTGAAATATATATATTTTTAATGTTTGTTTATTTTGAGAGAGAAAGCATGAGTGGGGAGAGGGGCAGAGAGAAAGGAAGTGAGAAAATCCCAAACAGGCTTGGCATGATGACGGCAGAACCCAATGTGGGGCTGGATTCCAGGAACCATGAGATCATGACCTGAGCTGAAATCAAGAGTCAGATGCTTAACTGACTGAGCCACCCAGGGGCCCTCACAGGAGAAGGAATTAAATGTGTACAAACATAAGCAGATTTATACACTTGGTGTTGGAAAGATGAGAACTACTATATAGTGGATTCTATTTTCTCTACAAAGATGAAAAGATCTCGAGCTGGGGGTGGAGCCACTGGAAAGAGCCAAGGTTTCCAATAACCCCTGTGAGGAACAGGATAAAGAAATGATCACAGAAACAGTAAAATTGCTAAGCAGTTTCGAGGGCCTACTGGCGTGTAATCATGAAGCGGCAGTGGAACAAAGCTGCCCCGTTGTGCTGCAGATCACTCCTGCAGGTGAGATCCATGAAAATCTAATACTCTTGTCACTTTCCTCCTTACTTACCAGTAGGACCTGGAATAGGTCCCCTCCACCACTCTCATTTCCCAGGTTCCTAGTGCTAACAGAAGAAGGAAGCAAACTGCATTTATTCTACACTAAACACGTCTTATGACCAGAAACATCTAGGAAAGGACTGAAAGTCTTAACACTCTGAGCCAGTGCTTAAGGCTAAACTGTGAACTTCTCATTGGAACAATTTGTCTTTAGAAAGACAACTCCTGACAAGTGACCAGAGTTACTACACTGGGCTTTCATCTCTAAGCAGAAATGTACAGAAACAAGCAGTAAACTGGAAATCTTTACCTTAATGTGTGTGAATTCCTACTTTCTTAAGTCAGAAAGCACAAATATTCTTTTGTTTGAAAATCAACTGCGTAGAATTACAATTTCTCAAAGTACATGCTTATTAGTTGATGACGAGCACTCACTTATGTAATGCTTCCCAGGCTTCCTCTTCTTCTAGAAGATCTCTTATGATGTCTGAACTAGAACTAAAAGGAAAGGCACATCAATATCGCGAGACAATAAAAAGATTGTATGGTTCCACTTACATGAAATTCTAGAAAATGCAAATTTATCTATGGTGACAGAAAACAAACCAACAGACCAGTGATTACCTCCTGGGGGCAAGAGGTGGGCAAGGAGGGATTACAAAGTGGCACGAGGAAACTCCGGAAGTGGCCAGGTTCATCATCTTGATGGTGAAGACGATTTCATAGCTATATACATGTATCAAAACTCATAAAATTGTTTGCTTTAAATAGTTGCAGTTTATTGTACATCAATTCAATAAAGGTGTAAAAAACTTAACAAGTTAGCAAAAAAAGAAAAAAAAAATCACAAAAGCTCAAACAAATCCCTCAATAGAAAACATGCATTCAAATAGAATACAGTCATAAGCCTTTTTAATCTCCTAAGGCAACCAAAGGTCAAACTGTGTCTTAAAAACCGCACCTTAGTAATGAGATTCACAAAGACACATTAAGTTCCTCAGTGTTTTTTAGTCCCTTTGTAACCAAAGTAAAGTAAAATTTCATTAATTTGAACTGTGCTAATGATGGAATTCATTATAATGCAGCCTGGTTTAAAGTGCTGTGTAATCTTTGGTTTATCTGTGCAGAGTACAGGGTAAATAAGGTTAGACTGGGCATGTATTATTTCTTTAAAAGAAAAAACTGCTTTAAGGCTTGTTGACAACTCTTGTTGTTACTCAGATTCCTACCAAATAAATAAAAGGAAAAAAAGATGTGCATCAGTAGCAAAAAAGCATTTTTAGACATCCAAGACAAAGAAGGGGTGGATGACATGGGGTCCACCAAGAAACAGCGGTCACCACCACAGGATGGAGGGGGCTAAAACCAAAGAATAACTTTCTCTTTGTCAGGGCCGATCACTTTCTAATGATATTCAACAACAAAAGTTTAAACACTGAGGAGACTTTAAGTGGCAGTGAATCATTCTCAACACCTGACAAATCACTTGGAAGCGATGTTTGTCTGTGGTGCATGAACAAAAAAGGCAAATAAATACTGTTCTGTGCCAAATATTTGACTCCAGGGGTTCCCCCCCAAATCCCAAGACTCTCAAGGAGCTATATTCTGACTATGGCTCCTGTGTGTAATGGCCTGTGGGGGGAGGGGGGAAGGAGGGGGTTCCATTTGCACGACAGGCCTAGTGACCTTCCGGTAAAGCTAGTTCTGCGGTTCTCAGGCATTTCAGGATAAGGATCCACATACAGGAGCAACAATACTTCTCAGTATTTGTGGCTTGAGAAAATACATAATAACAAAGTATTATAAATTTAGTAATGCTTTTAGTCTATATTTTATTCATTATAGTGACACATGCAGGACAGTGAAAACACAGTAGTACCTGTGTTTGTGAGATACTCTTGGTTATGTCTAAAGATAATTCTTGATGTGTGTGCGTTCTTGCACACCCGCTAAATCATGCCCTCAAGCCCCAGGCTGGGAAGTGCTGATCTAAAGTGTTAGCACGTAAGCATCCACTACTCTCACATTTGAGGGTGGCCCCTGTGCAAATCCAAGTGCCCTGGAAAATAGTAATATTCATTTATCCCTGGAAATGTTTTCCGTAGTACAAACTGCCTTAAAATAAGCTTTCCCCTTAAACAGTGAGCTAAATGCAGTTTTCATTAGCAGGGGAGAGAGACAAGCTGAAGGCCCTTAAGGAGAGACAAGGCAGATTTCACCAACTTTAATTTCCTAGGAGACCCACACCGCCACTTGCTGGGGCGGGCCGATGTCCGCTGCCCCCTCTACTCCCACAGAAGCAGACTAACCTCTCCACTCCCAAGATTCCGACTCCTGTTACTCCTTACTTTGCTTTCAACTACTCCAACTTCATAAAGAAAACTGAAGTTGTTTTAATGTAACTTTTTCCTTCTCTTCTCTCTACTGTAACAATGATACCAGCACCCACTCTTCTTTACCGGACGGATAGGGCTAAGGCAGTGTTCCTCAGCCCTTTTCATTACTGCCTTCCACCCCCCATTAGAGCTTTTTTAGACCTTTTTCCCCCCTAACTGCTCTTCTATGAAATTTTAATAGTGGAATATGATGTGTATCTGTTTATACATTTGTATCTGTGTGTGTGTGTGCACACACACGCGTTTGTGTGTATGCTTTATACACAGAGTTTTCTTTTCTTTTTTTTTTTTCCATCCAGCCCTCTTGCTGCCAAGAACCAAGTTCCACCTCCCTGGGGGCTCCTACTGAGAACTCTGAGTGAGCTAAGGGAATGCTCACGCAGCTCTGGGTCCTGGTAGGTGTCACAGGGCCAGAAAAAATAAAGTGTGGTTCTTGCCAACACCCCCAATACACACATATAATTTTTTTTTGAAAAGGAAGGTTAGAAATCAGTCCCCCCCCCGCCATTCCAGCTAAGTGACCAGGACAGCTGAGCCTGTCAAGCAACCAAGTAGTCTTGTGGTCAATTTACCCAGGGGTTTCAAATCACCAGTAGAAATCACTGATTTGTTAAAGGAAAATATTTGCGGTACATTAGTGACATAAACCTAAGCGGTTTTTGCTACACTACCTCAGTGAAAACAGATGGTCGGGGAGGTTCACAAAAAACACACCCCAAAAGTGGTCTGCAATCTCCTCTTGCTCTGTGACTTCAATCCCCCTGACCAGCCACAGCGCCCAGCTCACCGACGCCCTCACTCCTTGCCACCTTCCCTTCCACCCCAGCTTAGTCACCAATACGAGGGACACAAATTTCGGGAGGTCTGAAGCTTACCTACAATGATGTTTCAGGATTATCTGCTATATCTGTATTCCAATTATAGTCACCACTGAGAAACTGAGAGTTGATACTAATAAAACTAAAACAACAGAGAAAAGCGTTCATTCCTTTTTAAAGTAATGTACTCAGCATATTCTACTTACAAACCACATTCCTGAAATTATACATACAGTTTCACATATAGGATTTTACAAACAGACTACTGGGCACAACAGTCAGTGTATCAAAAATTAACACTCTCAGATCTCTTTCTTGTGGATAGTAATTAATATTTTTGAAGTCTTAACCATTTTAATATGCCCTGGAGATCAAAAACTCCTTTCATATACTTTTCAAGGCATCTAAAAAATCCTCCACAGGAGAATCACTCTGGTATACCTGGGGTAGGAGCATATATGAGCCTATACAGCTACAGCTTTTAATCCTCATGCAAGGAACTTTCGCAGAATAAATTTCAGCTCCTCTACTATTTGGGTTTGGAACACTCTGGTAGACCATACTTTAAGAAGCTGGATGGATATGAAGTCAGGTACATGAAAGTCAGAGCTCCCTATGTAAGAGTGTTTACACTGTGCTCTCTGGTATTACCAACAGTCCAGGCTAAAGCAGAAATTAGTCTATAAATTAAATACACATGAGAAGGACTCACAGGCAAAAGTATTAATCTTGCATTCTATGGAATTTCCAACCTTTGTTCAGGAAGATTCTAGTAGCTCTATTCAGAATACCCACACTTAATTTTTCATGCCATTTGAACGCTATTTTCAGCTCACACTTTCAAAAACATACGCTAAACTGCTGTTTGTTGGTCTTCGACCTAGCTGGTCTTCCTGTAATATCTTACATTTGTTATTCTCTTACCAAAAGCAGTAGCAGAGCATTTTAACAGGCAAAGGAAAACACTTTTTGCATGTTTCTTTTGCAGCGTCTTATTTCACCTTACTAGTCAAGATTTTACCACCAAAGCTGAAATGTAAGGTGCCTAATACTTCTGGAAAAGGTATGACTGATAAGACTACCCAGAGGGAAAGAAATCACAGACTATAGTGTCAAAGAGAGTTGAGTTTCAGTGCTGTTTCGGTCACTGAATGTGTAATACTGGGCAAGATACTTAATCTTTCCAAGTCTCAACAGCCTCACCTGTGAAGGCAAGACAATAACACACGCAGTTCACAGGGATATTCCCAGGTTGATCAATATAACATAGAGGATGTTTAGCACAGAGCTTAGCACATAGTAAGTGTTCAATAAATAATACTTCCATTTTCTTAACACAAACCTGGGTCTGAACTACATGAATAACTGCCTCAGCACTATGCTTCCATTTGCCCTAGGAAACCTGATCACTACGTGCTCTATTTTAATCTTTGATTTGCACTGTTTCTATGACACCAAGGTACAAATTCATCAGAACTTGTTATTTATCCAGCATGGCAGGTACACAGGGTACCGTGGGGCAGAAAAAAAAATGCAAACATCTGCTGTAAAAATCCTGTGGATTAAAGATTACTTACGAATGGGATTTTTCTATTATCTAGTAGTTACTCCACACCATATCCCCCGCCCACCGGCCCATCTCTTCTGATAATTGTGGCATTAACTGGAGCATGGTTGAGTATATCAAACTTAAAAATAAAACACTCCTTAAGGGATAGATCACTGGAGGATTGATGGAGATACAATGCCACCAGACTTAGTTATTGGTACTTTAGTTAACGGTACTTAACTAAATGCTGCCAGCCACCATTAATCCTTCCTCAAACCCTTATTTTTAGTAATCTGTTCTTATTCTACAGGGTAAGCAGCAGCTTATATGCCTAATATGTTTGTAGCTGGCTGACAATAACATGTTAGAACAGTAAACATCCTATGTTCAAGAAAGAAATCACTCGGGGTGCCTGGGTGGCTCAGTCAGTTAAGCATCCGACTCTTGATTTTGGCTCAGGTCATGATCTCAGGGTTTGTGGACTCAGGCCCACATCAGGCTCAATGCTGGCAGCGCAGAGACTGCTTAGGATTCTCTCCCCCTGCCCTCTCAAAATAAATAAACTTGAAAAAAAGAAAGAAATCACTCAATGAAGACCATGACAAAAATGATCATTTTGTGAGCAACTACTTCTACAGATCATTGTGGTAATTAGCTTCTATGCATTAGACTTAATTCATACAGCACCCTAGGTTTTATCCACATTTGACAGATGGACAAAGGCTCAGAGACATT